GTCACTACCAGATCTCAGACGTATTTAGTAATCAGGATTTTTGTCGTTTTATACAGAGTTTTTAGGTTTTTTGTTTTTGTGTTGTTGTATTGGTGAGGGGTGTGGGGTGGTGGGGGGGTGGGAGGAGGGGGAGGTGAGGGGGAGGTGGGGTGAAGGTGTGGGATGGTGGAGGGTGTGGGGTGGAGGGTGTGGGGGTGGGTGAGGGGTGTGGGGTGGGTGAGGGTGGGGAGGTGAGGGTGGGGTGAGGTGTGTGAGGTGTGGGGTGGGAGAGGGGTGGGTGGAGGGTGTGGGGTGTAGAATGGGAGGGAGGGGTTGGGGAGGTGGGGGTGGTGGGAGGGGTGTGGGGTGGGAGGGGGGTGGGTGAGGGGTGTGGGGAGGTGAGGGTGTGGGGTGGTGAGGGTGTGGGGTGGGTGAGGGTGTGGGAGGGGTGTGGGGTGGTGGGAGGGTGGGGGTGTGAGGGTGTGGGGTGGGTGAGGGGGGTGGGGAGGGGGAGGTGGGGAGGTGAGGGTGTGGGGTGGTGAGGGGTGGGGTGGTGAGGGTGGGGAGGTGGGGTGGTGAGGGTGTGGGTGGTGAGGTGGAGGTGTGGGGAGAGGAGGCTGTGTACCTTACCTGTCACAACCAGGGGGAATTTGCCTCACCTAGGAGCCCAGAGACACGGTGACAGGTAGAACGGGAGAGAGAGAGAGAGAGAGAGAGAGAGAGAGAGAGAGAGAATCGATTTGAAACGAACATTTTATTTCCTTGCGCCAAAAAATGGAGTCTAAAAACCTGGCGCCAAATCAGCTGGCGGCCAAACGACTGCGCCCAATCGTCCTATTCCGGAGATAATCACCGCTCACTTTAGCAACTCGATGTCACTTAAGCTACATTTAGCGGTCAAGAATCTTCATATAAACAAACAATACCTCATTAAATATCTCATAGTGAGCAATTAACAACATCTAGAGAAAGTAATTATGAGTTATTATGAGAGAGAAATGTTGAAATCGTAGGAATAATTTGTTTTTACTACCAATTACCTCAGAAATACGATTATTTTTTAAAACGCGAATTTTTTATTTTTTACCATAAAGGTGTTTTTCATACGTTCAGTCAACACATTCTCGCTCTTTTGTGACTTGGCTTGAGGGTGATTATCTTTTGTTCTATGTTGTTTTGTCGTCCTGGAGTGGGGGTGGGGGTGGGGGGTGGGTGGGGGTAGGGGTGGGTGGGGTGGGGGGGGCTTTTTTCCCAAGATGCGGATATCGTCACAAACAAGTCTTTAATTGTTATATTTATTTTTGTATTTTTTTGGCGAGATCAAATAACGACGCCATGATGGAAATTCTTTGATGCTGAATTTGTATTTTAAATTTAAGTAAGATTTATTTATTTATTTATTTCAGAAGTAAGGGGATTATTTAATTCTGTCAATCTTGAATGCTGTTTTGTTGACAAGTGAGGTCGGTTCGTGTTTGTTGACTAAAATTTTCGGGAAGTTTGTGGCTGAATGTTTGTTGCGGTGTTGTGATACTTTACGGGCTTATAACACTGTGGAGAGGATGTACTGTATGTGTGTTTGTGTGTGTGGGTGGGGAGGGAGGAGGAGAAAGTTTGAGGGAGGAGGCTGTATACCTCACTCGTTGCCAAGGTAACGAACCTTAAGGTCATGAGTATATACTAGAATTCTGTTCACTTTAGTGTTCATTGTTCACACATGTTCCTGTAAAAGAACATCCCCTCACCCCCTTCCCCTATCCCCTCACCCCCTCATTCTCCTCCCTTGTTCCTCATGTAGGTATTTTTACAACCTGTGAACTAGTGTAGGTACGTATCTCTAACCCTTAGTAGTGGACAGGTGAGGGAGACAGGTAGACCAGGTGAGGTAAACAGGTAGACCAGGTGAGGTAAACAGGTAGACCAGGTGAGGTAAACAGGTAGACCAGGTGAGGTAAACAGGTAGACCAGGAGGGTAAAACAGGTAGACCAGGTGAGGTGAACAGGTAGACCAGGTGAGGTAAACAGGTAGACCAGGTGAGGTAAACAGGTAGACCAGGTGAGGTAAACAGGTAGACCAGGTGAGGTAAACAGGTAGACCAGGTGAGGTGAAAGGTGACCAGGTGAGGTAAACAGGTAGACCAGGTGAGGGTAAACAGGTAGACCAGGTGAGGGAGAGACAGGTAGACCAGGTGAGGTAAACAGGTAGACCAGGTGAGGTAAACAGGTAGACCAGGTGAGGTAAACAGGTAGACCAGGTGAGGTAAACAGGTGAGACCAGGTGAGGTGAACAAGTAGACCAGGTGGAGGTGAACAGGTAGACCAGGTGAGGTACAGGTAGACCAGGAGGTGAACAGGTAGACCAGGTGAGGTAAACAGGTAGACCAGGTGGAGGTAAACAGGCAGACCAGGTGAGGTAAACAGGTAGACCAGGTGGAGGTAAACAGGCAGACCAGGTGGAGGTAAACAGAGACCAGGTGAGGTAAACATGTAGACCAGGTGAGGTAAACAGGTAGACCAGGTGAGGTGAACAGGTAGACCAGGTGAGTAAACAGGTAGACCAGGTGAGGTGAACAGGTAGACCAGGTGAGGTGAACAGGAGACCAGGTGAGGTAAAAGGTAGACCAGGTGGAGGTCAGGTAGACCAGGTGAGGTAAACAGGTAGACCAGGTGGAGGTAAACAGGTAGACCAGGTGAGGTAAACAGGTAGACCAGTGAGGTAAACATGTAGACCAGGTGAGATAAACATGTAGACCAGGTGAGGTAAACAGGTAGACCAGGTGAGGTAAACAGGTAGACCAGGTAAAAAGTGTTATGAAGTTTAACCTATGAACCTCGCTTCCTCTTGTGATGGTCGACTAGGAGTTACCCAGGTGCCTTACAGGTAAACAACAACCCCCCTCCCACCTCATGTGTTGTAAGGTGTTGTGGCTGTGGGTGTAGGTGTTAGTTTGGTCGTCTGTAGATACACCTTTGTACACAGAGGACACTTCAGGGAGATTATCTGTTTTAGCTATGTGTACTGATTCCTTGGTCTCCTCACCCTTCTCTCTCCCTTTCTTCCTTCTCCCCTTCTCTCCCTCCTTCCTTCACTTCCTTCCTCTCTCTTTCCTGATCTTTAGTTAATTGTTGACGATTTAACCTCAATTTCTGCGGTGACTAAACCTAATTATATGTTCTCTTCAACTATTTTGGATATAAGCCACTCCTCTCCTCCCTCCCTCCCTCCCTCTCCCCTCCCCCTTCCTCCTCCCTCCCTCCCTCCCTCCCTCCCTCCCTCCCTCCCTCCCCTCCCTCCTCTCCCCTCCCTCCCTCCCCCTCTCCCTCCTCCCCTCAACCTCTTGCTCCTCCCTCCCTCCCTCCCCCCTCCCTCTCCCCCTCCCCTCACCCCTCTCTCCCCTCCTCCCTCTCCCCCTAACCTACCTTCGCTCACTAATCAAACACACATCATGACCTCCCTACTGAAAAAAATAAATGCTCTTATTTTACCCTCTACCTGTGCTGTATCTCATTAAGCCAGGTAACAGGACTAGGTTAGGTTAGGTTAGGTCTGTCGTCTCTTGTTGTAATATTCCTACAGACCAAATATCTTTACAGACGCTATATGTATCCAAAATGTCTACTGTAGTTCCGTTTTAAGGAGTTTTAATTATTTTTTTATTTATTTTTTTGTTTCTGTGTTATTAGTATTTTTGTTGTTGTGCTGTTTTGTTTGTTGTTTGTTTTTGTTCGTTTATGGGGTTAGTTGCTGGGTCTCGTTCGCTTTCTGTTGTATTACTGAGATTATATGGGTTTTTCGCTTTCTCTGTTTGCTTACTGTTATTCACTCACTCACCGTCACTCACTCACTCACCCACCGTCACTCTCCCATATAAACTGAGTTACCTAAAATATCCCAGACATATTCGGAACAAAATTACTAAATATTTTCTGGTTTTATATCATCAGACAATCTATTTATCTAATGAACCTTGAAGACGCCATTCTCAGGACTTAAATTGATATGTTATACAAGAAATGTTTATCGAGAATGTAGGTGCAGGTTAAGTGGTCGCTGGAGTGAGGTGGTCGCTGGAGTGAGGTGGTCGCTGGAGTGAGGTCGACACATAATAATAATAATAATAATAATAATAATAATAATAATAATAATAATAATAATAATAATATGAGGAAGATCAATAATAACAACATCAACAGCAACAATACTATTACTACTACTAATAATAATAATATTTTTACGTTCTCACACACACATAAAAAACAATATTGAGGTCAGTGACAATTATCAGTACATCATATCACTGTTTTCATACTCGGAGTGCTTGGCGGGATTAACCTTTGACGTAAACAAACCAGCATTCACAAACGGACGAAAATAACATTCACAGTTGAATTAATTAATGCATGTATTATTATTCTAGAGTGATTTTATTGTGTTCTTTTTTTATTAGAAGTTTAAATTAATTTATTATAATTAAATTTCGGGTATTTTGATTTTATTGAATGTAATCTGTTGTAATTGAAAGTAACTTAAGTGTGGTTTAACCTAACTATGGCTAAACTGCCCCTTGCCTAACATAACTTGGCAGTGCTGGTTGAGAAGTGTAGCGTCTGTCTGTCTGTCTGTCTACCTGTTTAACTGTCTGTCTGTCTGTAATACTGAGAGGCACAATAACAGCTGTTCCATCTCCCTTCTCCTCTCTGTGATATGGAGAAACACGGCTGAGTAACCTGTAATTACTGGTGAAGTACGGTTCACACAACCGAGAAGCTGCTCCTGACGGATTGTGGTGTCACCTGCTGCGTCCACACACACACACACACACACACACACACACACACACACACACACACACACATATATACACACACACATACACACACACACACACACACACACATACACACACACACACACACACACATACACACACACACACACACACACACACACACACACACACTTATGTCATCAATCTTTCTTTTGTGTGAACTTCTTAACACTCTCTCTCTCTCTCTCTCAGGAACACCACTAACCTCTCCATCTCATCCCCCTTCAGGAGCCACATGTAACCTTGGCACCATCAACCCTGAGCTCTACAAGACAGACGAACTGGAGGGAGATTTGGACCAATACCCGGATGACCATATAGGGCGCGTGTGGCTACAGCTAGAGTACCACAGCGACGCCGAGAAGCTCCTCGTCACCCTCATCAAGGCCAAGAATCTCCCCAGCCGTCTCATAGGTTCCATCAACTCCTGCGACCCCTACGTCAGGTGGGTGCTCTTGTGGGTCTGATGGGTATTTAGTGGGTTTTTCTTGGGTTCTGGTGGGTTCTAATAGGTCCTGGTGGGTCTTGGTGGGCCCTGGTGGGTCCTAGTGGGTTCTAATAGGTTCTGGTGGGCCCTGGTGGGCTCTGTGGGTTCTGGTGGGTCCTGGTGGGCTCTGTGGGTTCTGGTGGGTCCTGGTGGGTTCTGGTGGGTTCTAATAGGTCCTGGTGGGTCTTGGTGGGCCCTGGTGGGTCCTAGTGGGTTCTAATAGGTTCTGGTGGGCCCTGGTGGGCTCTGTGGGTTCTGGTGGGTCCTGGTGGGCTCTGTGGGTTCTGGTGAGTTTTAATAGGTCCTGGTGGGTCTTGGTGGGTTCTGGTGGTTCGTGGTGGGTCCTAGTGGGTTCTAATAGGTTCTGGTGGGTCCTTGATAGTTAATAATTACATAATCACCTTCATCGACCAATCATCAGTCAGCATTTACCGTACCAGAAGTGAAGTTAACCAATCACGGGATCAAAAAGCCATCGGCGGCAACCAATCAGCTTACGGTAGCAAGAGTGAAGGGGAAGAATCATCGTAGCTTACCTGAGTGACGTCACTTTATACACCACTTGTTCCTCCACTCAAGTATTAAGTATTAAATCTCAGGTGGCACTTGTAATGGCGGCAATACAGAGTTGACGAAAACTAATATTACTTCCCTAAAATACTGTGCAGGTGTGTGTTACAGGTGTGCAGGCGTATGTTACAGGTGTGTGTATATGTGTGTAGGTGTGTTTGACAGGTGTAAGTAAGCTAAACAGGTGCAATTGTGGTTGGGAAAATATATGACGGTAGTAGTAGTGGTGGTGGTGGTGGTGGTAGTAGTAGTAGTGGTGGTAGTAGTAGTAGTAGTAGTAGTAGTAGTAGTGGTTGTAGCCAGATATAAACACACCCCCTACCCCCTGTTACCACCACCCCCCCCTTACCACCATTTAACCCCCACCCCTCCCTACCACCAACCCGCCAACCACCACTTACCCCACCCCCACTCCCCCCTACCACCATCCCCCTACCACAATTGAGTGGATGATGAGGATGATAGCTCACTAAGCTCGATGATGATAATGTTTGGTAACCACAATCATCTGGAGTGGTATATGGTAGTGGTTGTTTGGGGGGGTGTAGTGGTAGGGAAAGACTCTCTCTCTCTCTCTCTCTCTCTCTCTCTCTCTCTCAGGTAACCGTGTGGCCTCCAGAGTATCAATTAACACCTTTGGTCCTCGTAATTACCTCTATTAAGCTACTAAGTGATACTAATTATTCTCAAAATCAATCAATTTTCTCTCTCTCTCTCTCTCTCTCTCTCTCTCTAATGGACTCTGGCTGTGCACTCTGGTAACGAAAGAAAGTTAGAGAAAGAGAGAGAGAGTTAGAAAGACAAAGTCTCAACTCTCACAAAGGTCTCAGTGTCCATTTTTCCCAACGAAAGTTATGTTAGAAAGTTTCCAACCACAAAACGTGAGAGAGAGAGAGAGAGAGAGAGAGAGAGAGAGAGAGAGAGAGAGAGAGAGAGAGAGAGAGAGAGAGAGAAACCCTCTCTACCAAGAACCGTTTAGAACCTTCAAACTCTCTCTCTCTCTCTCTTCCATATAGACGAGGCAACAACAGAAGAAAGGAAGAGGGCGGAGCAAGGAAAGGAGAGTAGAGGGAGAGGGAGGGTGAGGAGGGAGGGAGGGAAGGGTGAGGGAGGGAGGGAGGGGTGAGACAGGGGAGGTAGGGGTGAGGGAGGGAGAGAGGGGAGAGGGGTGAGAGGGGGTTGTTTGACGTGGTATGAGGGAACAACAACAACAATACCCTAAAGAATAAACACACACACACACACACACACACACACACACACCAAAGGAGAAAGAAACCAAGATGGCGTCACTATTACACCCAGACTCTACCTCTAGAATCCGGGTCATGAAATGGATTTTTTTTTCCGGATTAACGGTATTACTTAGTGGCAGATGAAGGCTTCCTATTGGTGGAAGTTAGCACGTCTTGTATAGCCTTGTCCAATCAGCTTGTCGAAGAGGTTGGAGAAAGAGGAAGGAGGGCAGGGATTGGTTGGGGGTGTTGGAGGGTGGAGAGGGATTGGTTGAGGGGGAGGGAGGGGCAGGTAGTGTCGTCCTAGCAATGACCTGGGTGGTTCATTATCTGTCTTGCCTAATTGTATACCTCATTAAGGCTTATTCTTGCCCCCTTGCCCTTCCCCTGCCCTTATCCCCTCCCCCTCCCCCCCTACCTTTGTCTCTCCCACTCCCCTCCCTCTCGGCCTCTCCTACCGACTCCTCCCTCTCCCTACCCACTCTTGAGTTGCTAGGTATCGTTAAGGGGGTCATTAAATTGGTCTAAGGAAATATTAACTACGACTAATGCATCGTTATTATTT